CACTTGAATCTCAGAAGCCTAAATTAGCAAAAAAGTTATACTCTCAACTTGAAGAGGACTAGTGATGGGCCTCAGGCTGCCACTCTAGAGAGGGTTGTTTGGAAATGAATCCTCCCAATTCTTCCTTAGCAAAAGCCTGAAGTGTTAGCGTAATACCTGAGGATGTGAAGAATCTAAAGGAACTTTCTCAGCCAGTATTATATATTCCATGATTAGTCCTCATGGACAGTGGATTTCAGGCTACACTGAGTTCAACAGAGATCAATTCACTACAGTCATACTACACTGTTCACAAAGGGCTTCTGTCAGAGTTCTATAGCTTTTGTTCTTAGTTGGTGTGCAAAATCTTCTGACAAAACTAGCTGGACTTGTCTGATTTGACCTTTTAACTTTTAAAGCAGTGATTTCCAAGGGCCAAGGGATGGCCCAGTGACTGAGAGCACTTGATGCTCTTCCAGAGGATCTGAGTTCAGTTCCCAGCACCCATGTCAAATACACATCCAACTTTAATCCAGTTTTGAGTGATCTGATGTCCTCTTCTGGCTCTGTGGAAATACACACACACACACACACACACACACACACACACACACACACACTAAATCTGAAAAGCCAAAACACAGTCACTCTAACTAGACAACCCTGTAAACAACTGGCCAGAAACTATACTTCAAAAAATGATTGTAACAAAAGAAAGAAAAGCCACATATGAAAATATTCACTCTCTATAGTAATCAAATAATGCAAGTATGATACCATGTGTTTTTAAATTGGTAAATACAAAAAAATGCTTTTGGTCAAAGTGTGGTAAAGTAGGTGTTTTCATATAATGGGTAATGTGGGGCTGTAACTTAACACACGCATTTAGAAGGTCGATCTACAAATCTTAAAATATGCTCACACTTCGGCCCTGTAAACCTTTAAGAAACTTATCTGAATACATAATTTTGAATGTATGTGTGTATGTGTGTGTGTTTAGTTGGAGTGGGGAGGTACTAGAGAGCTAGAGATCAAATGCAGTGCAGATTCTATAAAACTAGGTATTAGTGATAAAGATATTAAGCTATATTTATGATAGTGAAAATGGACCAATCAGAATACCCCAAAATAAGACACTGGTTTAAAAAGACAGTGGTATATACATATGCTAATATTCTATCATTAACAATCTTGAAGCCAGGCGTGGTGGCCCAGGCCCATATTCCCAGTACTACTAAGGCTAAAACAAGATGATCTCAAATTCAAGGTCAACGTGGGCTATATTGTTTCAATATGAATAATTTTGGAGGCAAGTGATTTTTTCAGTAGTATTGTAATAGCTTTTGTGAACTAATTGTTCTTGTGGAAACAATTAGAAGCTGCAAAAGGAAAATTAAACAAACAACAACAAAACCCTACAGCCTGGAACTTCTGGTTTCTAGTCCAACACATAAGGAGACTGGAAGTTGTCATTCTCATCCTCATAAGAAAAATGTCACGGACTAAGGGATATAACTCAATGGTAGGGCATTGGCCTCTATCCCAGTAATAACAATAACATCAGTATAATAAAGAGAATAAAAACAAAGAGTAAGGCTAAACAAATAAAAAATATTGACAGCTTTACCTTAGCTCATCAGAAAACTGAAGTCACAGTATGCTGGGGTTTGAATGGAAATCCATCCCCACATCCCATCCCCCCCACCATGGGCGTGTGTTAGATACCTGGTCCATACATGGTGATACTACTTTGAAAAGTTCTGGAAGCTTTAAGAGGCAGAGTCTAGATGGAGGAAGTAGACCGTTGGGAGTATCCCATCTTGGTCCTTTCTTATCTTCGATGCTTCCTGCCTGCCATGAGGTGAGGAGCTCTCCTCCACCAGATGTTCCTGTCACCCAGAGTCCAAACACATGGGATCAAGCAACCATGGGTCAAACCTCCTAAAATATGAACCCAAATAAATACCTTTCTCCTTGTTTCTCTGAGGTGCTTGGTCACAGCAGTGAGAAGCAATAAATTCTCTCCAAACAGAAGAGGTAGATGTAACAACCATACCTTACTAGAGCAGACCTGGGAAGGAAAAGTCCATGGGAACAGTACTGAGGAAAGAAATACTAACATGCAGTTGATGGATTTCAAGAGAGTCAGTATAGACAAACGAAGAGTTAACATCCTGAGGAAGGGGGCAGTCTTAGGGATTACCATAATTTTGTAAGGTTTGTAACCTGAAGTACCGAAGCAAAGAAAATCACCTTTGTGTTTCTGGCAAGACACCTAAAAACATACCCCAAGAATTCTTGGGGGTTTTTTTGTTTTGTTTTGTTTTTTGGATTTTTGGTTTTTTGAGACAGGGTTTCTCTGTGGCTTTGGAGGCTGTCCTGGAACTAGCTCTCATAGACTAGGCTGGTATAGAACTCACAGAGATCTGCCTGCCTCTGCCTCTGGAGTGCTGGGATTAAAGGTGTGCACCACTCTTGTCTTCTGAATAAAGCCCCTCAACAGAAACCATCTTGTCATAGCCTAACTTACTGAGGTTCTCTTAGAACCTAACTGATCCTCAAAAAGGAAAATGAGTCCAAGACCAGCCTGGTCTACAGGCTGTGTAGACCAGGGCTACACAGAAAACCTGTCTCATAAAAGCAAAACAAAACAAAAAAGGAAAATAACAAGACACACTAAAAGGCAAAAAATATAGACGGAACAAAGCAAACATCTATATCATGATCCAGACACAGTGTGGTGAGTACTCAGAATATGACTGTGAATTTTAAAAACTATAATTAATATGCTAAAGGGAAAATAGCAGAAATTGTTAAGTTATATTAGCACTCAAATGGGGGACATCTAAATACTGAAGGCAAAAGCAAGAAATTAAAAAGTACTTTAAGGGGCTGGAGAGAAAGCTCAGAGGTTAAGAGCACTGGCTGTTCTTCCAGATGTCCTGAGTTCAATTCCCAGAAACCACATGGTGGCTCACAACCATCTGTAATATGATATGGTGCCCTCTTCTGGTGTGCAGATATACATGGAAGCAGAATGTTGTATACATAATAAATAAATAAAATCTTTTTTTAAAAGTACTTTAAAAAACTGAAGCATATGGGGTGGTTTAAACAAGATGTCCCCTCTTGTCTTGAACATTTGAATACTTGGTCCCCAGTAGGTGGTGCTGTTTAGGAGGCGTGGCCCTGTTGAGAAAGTATATTACTAGTATGTTACTTTTAAAGAGTAAAAAGCCAAATCTACTGTCAGTTCTTTTTCTCTGTTCCCACTTGTTGCTAAAGATATAAGCCCTCCACTTCCTGCCCCTGCCACCATGCCTGCTACTTGTTACCATACTTTCATTCCCCCATCATGGGCTCTTATCTCTCTGCAATCGTAAGCCCAAATAAACACTTTTCTTCTATAAATTGCCTTGATCTTGGTGTCTTATCACAAAGAGAAAGAGTAACATATGGAAATGCCTTCAATGGGCTTACCCATAAAATGACCACAGCTGAGCAAAGAATCCATGAGCTTGAAGAAAGGATAATAGGAAGTTCCAAAACTAAAATGCAAAGAGAAGAAAAAACTGACAGAAGAGATAACACAATATCTAAAATCTGAGGAACGATTACAGAAGGGCAGAAGGGGAATACAAAAAGATAAGAGAGTGAGGAGAGAAGAGAATATGTGAAGCAATAATGACTGAATTTCCAAATGTAATCACAGATACCAAACCACAGGTCCAAGAACACCCAGGCAAGGTAAATACCAAAATACCTATACCTAGTTATAACATATTCAAACTGCAAAATATGAAAAGCAGAGAAAATTGTGAAGGAAGCTATGTGGGAAGGATAGGAAAAGTGGCAGGGACATGATCAAACTTCTCTTTAGAAACTATACAAACAAAGATGAAGTAGAGCAAAATATTTATAATGTGAAAAGGAAAACGTTACCAATCTAGAATTCTATATCCAGCAAAACTATCAAAACATCATATGGCATCCCATAGTTATGCACAATTTTTGGATTCCTGGGGATTGAATCCAGAACCTTCACACATGCTAAGCAAGTACTCCACCACTGAGTTACATCCCCACCACAATATGCACAGTGTGTGTGTGTGTGTGTGTGAGAGAGAGAGAGAGAGAGAGTTAAGATTAGTTTAATTTTAAAACATAACAGGAAAGAAATAAAGAAATATATGGCTTATCAACATTAAATATGTCTAGAGTGCTACTTTAGCTCCAGACAAAGTAGACTTCGTAACAAGAATAACTATCAAAAGACAAGACATTATATTAATAGCAAAGAGGTTAATTCTCAAAAAGACATAACAATCCTTAATTCATGCATCTAAAAACAGAGTGTTAAAATAGGATAAAATGAAACCAAGGAAAAGGCTGAGAGAGCTGCATGGAATAACAGATGAACCAACTATGACAGTTGGAGACTTCAAGGCCCCCCTATCAGTAATTGACAGATTCAGTAGGCAGAAAATCATTAAGGACATAATTGGAGTGAGTAGCACCATCAATCAACTGGATATAATTGACATCTTCAGACTATTAGATCCAACAACAGAATACACACTCTTCTCAAACTCCCGTAAAATGGGTCATTCATCAAGAGAAATCATATTTTGAGCCGCAAAATACGCCTTGAAATATAAAGAATAGAAATCATGTGAAGTCTGCTATCAGGCCAGAATGGCTTTAGCAGCTTAGCAACTGGGCAACATTCTTCCAAGTAACACGAGAAAATTTGTAGAGTCTTCATTATTTTGCCTTTTTAAAAAAATATGAGAAAATACTAATATCAAAATTAAAACAGGGAACACCATTTCAGAGCTCATGTGTATTGAAATACATAAATACATCACATTCATTATTTACAATATACAAGTATTATATAAATATAATACACATACAAGGTACTTGACAGCCTAAGTGAACCTTGAATGACATAATCTGACAAAGCTTTCACAGAGACAATCTGAAAGTTCCATACGTATTAAATTGAACTAACAATCATTTGTCTTCCAAAGCAGAAATTTCAGAGTCAGATAGGCTTTCCTAGGGCGAGGCTTCTCCATTGCCATCCGGATGTGCTGACCCCTGCAATTTCCCCAAATACAAGAAACTCAGCTGCGTAATGTGGTCGTGGGAAGACAGCATTTATGCTCTTCCCCATGAAACAGAATGAAAATATATTAACATGTTGAATCTAGTTGTGAGTTAAGAGAATTACACAGCGTGACCAGGTGGGATTGAACCCAGGAATGTAAAGCTAGCTCATTGTTCAAATTTCAATTAATGTGGTCCATTATTACATCAATACACTAAAGCAGAAAAAATCCTATGATTGTGTTAACAGTTGCAGAAAAGGCATTCAGTAGAAAATAACACCTATTCATAATAAAAACCCTCACAAAACTATGAACAAACAGGAAATTCCTCAACTTGGTTTAAAGAAGTACTAAAAATTAAAGCCAATGTCTAACATGATAATAATAGTAATAAACCAGGAACTTTCCAACTCAAATTAAGAACACGGAAGGCTGCTCACTCCCACCATTCAACATCACCCTGGAAATCCCACCTAATGCAGAAAGACTAGAAGAAAAGCTAGTAGTACATGTATTAAGAAGTAATAAACAAAAGTCTCTGTGTTCAAATGGCATAGATTATGGGGAAACTCCCCCAAAAAACTAAAGAGTAAAATCATGAGGCAAGGCAGCCTCATGTGGCTAATGTAAAAGTCAGCCACCTTCCCATGCACCAGCAGTGAACAAGGTGATCTTGAAGCCAAATAGTGTGATGTAAGCAACAAGTAAGCAAGAGATTTGGTTATGAGTCTAATCAAACATGTACAAGATCTAGATGAGGAACACCGAAACATTCTGATGAAAGACATCTAGGATGTCTAGAAGAGATTCCACACATGAGGACAGAAGGTCTGAGATGTCAGTTACCCTCAAATATGTCTATATAGCCAATGCAACACAAGTAAAAATACTAGCACACTATCTCACAAATCAACACATAAATTCTAAAATTTATGTGGAAAGGCAAAAGTCCAGAATAGCTAACAGAGTAGTGAACATAAAGAACACAGCTGAAGAACTGGAATTACCAGCCTCAGCACTTGCTACATAGCTACAGCTATCAACAGTGTGGTGGTGAAGGGACAAACACACAGATCAACAAACCAGAATGGAAAGCCCAGAAATAGATCCACCCAACTATGATCTACTCATTGCTAACCAAGGAGCAAAGATTTAATGGAGAAAGCATAGCTATTGTTTCCTTTTCTTTTGTTTTTATACAAATGTTATTTGATCAACTGGATATCTAATATATATACAAAAATAGATAATAACCTTATACAACTCACAAAAGTAACTCACCCATGCAACTGAATATAAAACTGAACAAAAAACATAAGAGGAAACCTAGGAGAGCTTTGAGTTTTATAGTAAACTTCTAGATGTAGCATAAAATTGTGTTCTTTAAAAAAAAAACACTAAATTGGACTTTCTTCAAATGCACTCTATTGAGATATTAATAAGAAAATCACAAACTCTCAGAAAATTAATCCAAAACAAATGTTTGATTAAGGATTCATCAAAAATACATAGAAATACTTAAAACATGGCAATAAGAGAATAAACAATTGAGGTAGTTTGAATAGAAATTGCCTCCATAGCCTCATAGATTCAAATACTTGATTACTAGGGAGTGTCATTACTTAAGAGGGATTAGGAGGTTTGGCCTTGGAGGAAGTGTGTTATTGGAGGTGAGCTTTGGGATTTTAAAAGCTTAGGCCAGGCCCAGTGTCTCTCTCTTCCTGCTGCCTGCAGATCCAGACGGAGAACTCTCAACTTCTCCAGCACCATGATGTCTGCCTACATTCAGCCATGCTCCCCACCATGATGACAATGGACTAAACCTCTGAAACTGTAAGCCAGCCCCAATTAAATCTTTTCCTTTATGAGTTGCTGTGGTCGTGGTTTTTCTTCACAGCAAGAGAAACCCTAACTAAGACAACCATCTAAATTAAAAATGAGCAAAAGAAAAAAATCTAATATACAAATATTAGATTAAAATGAGCAAAAGAAACAGCAAATAATCACGTAGATGGCCACATTACATATCATTAAAGATTTATAAGTTAAAACTATGTGATTAAACACACACCTACAGATCAGCCACCAACAGCCAAAGCACAAACAACACTAAGTTTGGGTGAGCACATGGAGTCAGAGTATAAGAGTATAGGAGCCAGAAGATAGGGAAGGAATGCTGTAGAAAGCTGTCTTCCAGAGATGGCATGGTTGTTACACTCTTGAACTCACAACAGCTGTGGTTACCCACATAACAGTGGACCTATGGATAGTCCATTATGGATGAGGGAAGGGCTCGTAAGTTTTCATCCCTCCCTGAGGAACTATTGGCAGGTAACAGTTGCCAGGGAAGGGAGAATGCTGTTAACTACTGGTGAGTTGTCCATGCTCTGTTAAATAATCATACCCATGCTCATGCAGCAACTCTAATTCAAGTGAGTGGGACACACATAAAACACACACACACACACACACACACACACACACACACACACACACACACACGCCATGAAAGTATAAGAGGGACTGTTATCAAAATTCATTATATATATATGCATATATATATATATTGAATTGTCAAGAAGTGATTAATAAAAATAACCATACCCATACACCCTGGCAGTCATGCTCTTTGGAATTTACTCAAGTGAGCTGAAACTATATCCACACAAAACCCCCACACAAATATTTATAGCATCTTTATTCATAATTGGCAAAACTTAGAAGCAACCAAGATATCCTTCAACAGCTGAATAAACAGTATGACACATCCCTACAATATGTGAATTTTAAGGACTTCTTTTCTTCATGCCCCACCATCCCCTGTCAAACAGACTCCAAGTACCAGATCTAGGTGGCCATGTGCACCAGGTTGATAAGGCCATTCCCTGACACAAATTCCTTTTCTTGCTCTCCTGTCTGTGACACAGTGACATTCAAATACACTAAGAGACTTCCTTCACACTGATGCTGTGTGAATATTCACCTTGGCTCCCAATTAAAGCATTGGTCCATGGCCTAGGTTCTCTCCCCCCCCTCCCCCTATGCCTAACCCTCCCGCTCTCACTCTCTCTTCCCTTCTCTCTGCTTTCAACTCTTCTTCCTCCCTTTCTCCCTTCTTCTCCATCTCCTCTCCTGCCGTATCCTTCCTTTTTTCTTCCTTCCTCCCTCCATCTTTTTCTCCCTCTCTCTCCATTTCCCTCTCCTCTCCTGACCTTTCCCCCTCCACATGTTCCCCAGGTGAACCCATTCATTAGGCTCTCCTCCTACATGGATCTTCAGGAGCAGGCCATATTTCCCACTGCAGAACCTATTACAACAATTCTTTATTTCACATCTCTCTTGGAGTATAATCCCCACATTAGGTGAAATGGTCCCTAAAGACTCCACAGAGAAGGTGTTCTACCTTTACCATATGCAATGCTAAGAGATATTACTCAGTGACAAAAAGAAAAGAATGGATAAGACCACAAAAAGAATTAAAGGATCCTAAAATTCATACTGCTAAGTGAGAGCAGTCGACATAATGTGTTAACCCAACTATATTCCCCACTTCGGGGAAAGGCAAACTGGAGGCAAACTATGGAGTTCAGGAAAGGAGTGTGAATGTGTGAAGTGTGGGAATTTTAGGCCAATTAAATAGATCTATGTGATCCCACACGGAAAGTAGAGGTTGGAGAAAAGCTATGGAAACCTGAAGAAGGTGTAGATGTTCTTGCATTTATCAAATTGCACAGCACATACAGTACTAAGAGCAATTCCTAATGTAAAGACAGCTTTCAGCTAAAAATAATGTATGAATATTGGTACATTTCCTCCAGAAAATGGGCCACATTAGTACAAGATTTTAAAAGTGGGGAAATTGGAGTAGGGGTGAGAAGGTAGAGAATTCACTGTTACAAAGATAAATACAAAAACTCTACTGTATATTAGTCATAAGAGACATAGCTGTAATAAAACTGAAAACATAACACTCCAATAACTGTGGCTGTACTGAGATGGGACAAAGTAGATGCCAAGGCAAATAATGTCATCAGAGAAAATCATGACCATTCATCAGGAAGAGCAAACGACTGACAATCACGTGCTCCTCATGACAGAGCTTCAGACACATCAGTCACAGAAGTAGTAATCAATCCACACATACAGTGACTTCTGTCTCAGTGGATTGATAGAACAAGACAATACTCAACAAGGATCCGAGGACCAGAACAGCTACATCAAACCAACTTGGTGTTACTGGCATTTGTAGCGCTCTAGACAGACAACTGCAGCATCCACATCCTTTCATCAGATGGAGAACGTTCCCCAAGCTAGAACACAGGCTTGATTAGAAAGTGAGCCTTAAAACATTTAAAGTATTCCAAAGACGTGCCTGGACTATCTACTGACTGCTTTAAATTAGAGAACAACAAAAATAAAGCTAGACCTCCAATTATTTGAGTATTAAGCAAAAAACACTCCTAAATAATCATGGGTGGAAGGAGAAATCACTCATGATATTAGAAAACATGTCTACCTGTCTAGTAGTCATTTTAAAATGAATTCAAAGTGTAATTAGAGATTGATATGTTGATACTGAAAAAAAAAGTTTAAAAATCAGTTACCTGAGTTTCCATTTTAAGAAGAAAAATTCCAACATCTGTTTGTGGTGGTGCGTACCTTTAATCCCAGCACTGGCAAGCAGATCTCTATGAGTTCAAGGCCACAGTGAGTTCCATGCCAGCCACAGCTACATAATGAGACCTTGTCTCAAACAAAATAAAACAAAACAAAACAAAGGAAACAGAAAAAAATAAGAATGAGCTGAATCCAATATAAGCAGAAAAGGAGAAATAATAAAAAACAAAAGTCAACTAAATAAAAACACACTAGACAAAGGGAGAGACTGAGAAGCTATCCCCATCTCCAGGAGCCTAAGGAAATTAAATGTGATGTGGATTCTGGATGGGATCCCTCCACGGAAAGAAGAGGTTTGAGAAAAGCTATGGAAACCTGAAGAAGGTGTAGATGTTTTTGCTTATAATAATAATTTAAATTGCCAATAATAAGAGAACTGGGCACAGG